CTTAAACAAAATCGGTATAATTATGTGAACATTAAGTTTATAATTATTTTATCGTAAAAAGAATTATAAAGTTTTTATGGAAAAAAAAAAACATTTAGATATAGATGCATATCAATTAATTCGAATTTATATTATTATAGTATATGTAGCTACGTAAATTCATAGAACTCTTTTTAAAATACATTACCTACTACAAGTATGTAAAATTATCATAAAACATTGGATCAAAATGTCGATTAAAATAATTCGTTTAAAAAACAATATTAAATAGTGACGCGCGCTCAGTCTGACGCAGATTACCGAATGTCAAAACTAAAAACGAATTCTACGCGACGGGACATTTTTTTTAAGATTTTAAGAGGGAGATGTGTCCAAATGGACACGCGGTAAAATCCATTGAACTCCCAGTGGAGTAAGACTGTTTACTATAACGTATCCAATAGAAAATAAAGGTTAAATAATTGAATTAGTAGATTTTGTAAAGAAAAAAAAAAGTAATAATATATTTTATGTAGGGAATGCTGTCACTGGGGGAATACTTGTGTGTGTATTGCGCGTATTTACATTCCGTGAAGTCCGTGTATTTTACGTGTTTTATTCAAATTTCATGATGACACACTCATAATACTTGTGATAACAATACGGAACCGTTTTTAAATTTATTTAAAAGCAAATTTAATTATATTCGCGTAATAAATTTTTCAAAAAGCCGTTGAAATCGCATATACGGAACCCCTAAAATTCGGATGTGTTCATCGTCTTTATTAATTATATTGTAGAATTTTGAATAACCCTAGCGTACAAACATTACGAACTGACATTATAGTTTAATAAACCAATGTATTTTTCTCAATATCAATGTGTTATGTTTCTGGTAGGGAAAGAAGACCCGAGTAAATTTTTAAGGGTTTTTTTTTTTTTTGTAACTTTGTCGTATGAAATTTTTTCTCGTTTATTTTTTGTATAAATATCATAAATAAGTATGTATTTTTAAAATTAGCTTATATTGAAAATTATACGACATTGACTTAAGCTGTTTTTCTCTGGAATTGAAGCTTTAATTCTATCTTAGATTTTACCAGTGATTTTCTGTATATTCCACTGCAGAGGGATTTTCCAGTCATATATAAACTTAAATTATTTTTTTCATGAAAAATACGCATCGTTTTAGTTTTGCAATCATAACTAGGCATTTTATCGTATTTTCGTTTTGTTCGAATTTTGTATATTGAAGTTTTTGTATTTTAAAACATATCCCATTTATACTTACATACATACATACATAACAATCAAACTTTTTATAATATCGATAAGATAAAATATGTATTATAGATACGTTGCATATTAAATTCCTCATTGCTTATCATCATGGTGGTAGTAACCGAATTATTTTCCTCTATGTTATATTGTAAACGATTATTCGATTTCAAATGGATTTATTTTTTTTTTTCTAGTTAACTCGAACCCACGTCATACAAATTCTCGTATAGCGGAAGTTGGAGCAACGTGTGTTTGACAGATTTCAAAAACATAATATATAATATATCGATCTGTGCACGTAAGTCACATACTCACATCTAACATGGCATTTACTTTTCGAAAAAAATAACTATTTTAAATAATATCGAATAATATTGTGTATTTATTTGCGAGGTTTTATAGTGCAATGTTTTTTTCTGGATTTTCCGCTGGTGCTCGTATATAATATAATATAGGACAAACCGTTATAACATAGAATTTCGTATTCGCCCAGTCTCTCGGTTTATAACGATATAATCCCGTATAAGAAAATCCCGTATTGCCCGTATAAAAAGTAATACATGATCAAACAGTATTTATATAGTATAATCCCCATTATGTGGGTAGATATATACCTACACACAACATCAGCTAGGTGGAAAATTAAAGAAATCTACACAATAAATTATTACTTATAATACTCTTATATTTTTGAAAATAGTTTATACTTGCTGTTTACTGCATGTTTAATGGCAACGACTCTCTCTTTCTCACTCTTTTTACTTCTTTCTCTCTTACTCTACCCCCATTTCTCATCACTTTCAATACGTCCATAATCTTGCGGTCCGTACACAAAATAATTTAAGAACGCTGGTACGTTCTTAAATTCTCAAACCAAAATACTCTCGTTCTTCAAAGTTAAAACAAGACAATTTTAACGAAATTAAATACTGTACCACGCATTTCAAATGACAAATAACAGAGATATAACTCAATAATGAACCATTGAAAAAAGCAACGAAAAATCATTGTACATAAACGACATCGCAGCCAAATAAAAAAAAAGAGAAAAACAAGAAATAGACGAAGAGATTACTGATGATTTCGAAAAAAATTGTGAACTTTTCCCAAATTCAATTCTTAATAAATTCTAAATAATGAATATGTGTACCTTTGTCTTATTACAACTGTTTTGTCATTGTAGCATAAAATCATAAAACGTGTAAAAAAAAAAAAACCAAAAAAAAAGTGTTTATAGTTATGTTTTATTATTGTATAATTTTTTCAGTTACAGTTACGACTTATACATTTTTTAAAAAAAAAATAATTAAAATAATTATAAATGATACAACATTATGTCACTTTATTAAATTATATTTCCGGTTAATCGGACGGTCGTCTTTTTTGTCTCGTACACTACGCGTTCATTTCAGTAATGACAAAATGTCCAGAACAAACCGTATTTAATCGAAATAAATATGTTAAACTCAATAAAAATAATATCAATTTCTTCAATCGCCCTCCATCTCCAAAGAGCTTTTTTGTACATACTGTCATAGTTATTTTTATGTTTTCGATGTTTTATTTTTACACATAAATAACAGAACGAGAATCAGAGGCTATACAACTTCGTGTTATATTTACAAAAACTTGACAGACTATTTTTTTCAAAAATAAATTCCGCTTTACTTTCTATCCGTCGATATGTCTAAAGCTTTTCACGTTTATGTAATATAATAAAAATCATGGTCCATCCGTTATTACAAGATTATACAAGAGCTGAGATAATGGGTTTTTTTTTTTTCGGTATTTGAAAAAGGACAATAATTCTCGGCAGAAACGCTATCTATCACAAAATGTACCTTGAAAAATTATTATGCACGTATATTTTATGTTTTGGACAAAAACTGTTTTGGTAAATTATTCAGATTTATTATTTACACTTCCATAATTTATTAACACATAGTGCCTTTATAGGTATGTATGAATTGTCAATAGTAATTAAAAATTCTAAAACAAATTGCATTTAAACTGAAAAAAAAGTCATTTTAAACTTAAATATGATAAATACCTTAACGTTATAAAAAAAAACCCTCTTGAAATATTGTGGTATTAAAATATAACAGGGAAAAAGAGTTTTACCTATTATTCAGTTGAGATGATAAGTACATTTGTTCAAATTATACACATATTTATCTGTTATACTCTTAGAAATACAAAAACTTCCTAATAATTTGTGTAAAACTTACTATTGTATATTATAATTTTCGGTGAATAAATTATTAATTAAATATATACTATATTAATACATATAATATATGTTTTTGAATCACCTATCCATTTGAATAAAACAAGTCAAAATGTTTATTTCAATGTCAACAAGTTGCCCACCAAAATGCAATGGTATTTTTATTCAAATCAATTGAACAACACAACCGTTTATTGTGTTGTTGACAAAACCTGCAATAAGGGAATAAAATGAAATGTTATTTTCATACGATTACACTTTTATGGTATAACACAGTTTCTTTTTCGTCTTTTTGTGAAATTACTTGTCATGGACCACATAGTATAAGTTATTCTAAATCTAAACTAAATAATTTTTTTTTTTTTTTAATTATTTATATTTATACTTTTATCCGTAATTTTTCTAAAGAATACATTTCGGAATCGTTATTTAACATCGTTTTAAAACCCTTCAAAATCTATATACATAATGGGAAAATAATAGGTTATTAACATAAGTATTATAGGTATAAGTTTATTTACTTATTTATTTTCGCGAAAGTTTCCCTTGAGACAATACCTAATTGTACCTATATGGATACGAAAAATTAAATAAAAATAAATAAAAAAAAGATAATAATGTAGAAAAAGAATACAATATATAGATTAAACGACAAAACATTAAATAATTAAAGGATTGTAGGACTCCGAATACTATAATTTATAACCAACAATCCAAGGATCCCAGTTTTTGAATTGGACATAAACCCAAACAGCAAATTTAGTGTCCAACAGTCCACGAAATGTCCAATAATTTAATGTCTTCGTTAAAAGTGAATTGCCTATTTCGGGATTAAGCTTATTCCATAGACGATAGACATGTAAATATATTTGAGAATGTATAGGTTGATGTCTACATGTGGACATCAGCACTAAACTTTCAGGAAAACACCTTGAAAGCATGTTCCTTTAGGTGCCTTGAGTTAGCCTGTATGAAAAAGAGGGATGGCCACTAATGGGAATGTTTTAAGGACAATACTAATATGAAGTACTCTAAGATCGATTAATATACGCCTCGTTTACAGTAGCTCCAAACCAAATTTGAAATAAAGTTAAACTTTTTTCAAACAAAAATAGGTTATTATTTCTGTACCAGACAAATATCATTAATCTTATATATAAAATTATCGTGTCACAATGTTCGTTCCCATACTCCTCCGAGACGGCTTGATCGATTCTCATGAAATTTTATATGCATATTCAGTAGGTCTGAGAATCGGCTACTATCTAAGTTTGTATGCTCTGCGATAAGTGGTTCCGGAGTTATGGCCTCTTAAGTCAAAGTATACTAGCACGCACGATATTTAACAATTATTATTTTGCCATGGAGAGATAATATACACTCTATGTGGTTATTTTTTATTATTGGTTTCCGTGGCACCCGCGTGCCAATAACAATTGAGAACGACTGGGCCGATTTGGCTAATTTTGCTAACCTAACCTAACCTATGTACGTGTGTTTTGCACATATTTCAATGCCAACAAAACGCAAAGGGGCTGATTTGAACCGTAATACAAGTAAATCTCGAAGCTTGCGAAATAGAAGATCCGAAAGAACCGAAGAACAAATCCAGCAACAAAATACTGATGCACGTGTCAGAATGGCGCAATTGCGTCAAGAAGAGTCAGAAGACACACGAGCTGAACGCAATGAAGTAATAAGATTAGAACAACGACAATCACGCCGTTTCACAGTCAATAGACGCAGAACAAATGACCAACAACGACAACAGGTACATCGAGCATTTACATCTGATTCATTCCTGCGTCTAGCATTCCAGTATGAGCCCGATATTGAATATTATGCTCATTCAAAAGTGGTAATTGATGCTATGGACAAGGAATGTCCGCATTGTCATGCTCTGAAATTCAAAAATGAGCCAGCTGGGGTGTATTGCGCGTCAGGAAAAGTGCAACTACCTGAAATTGAAACACCATCTGAACCATTGAACGGTTTACTTATCGGCACGGATCCAGATTCTAACGTGTTCCTGAAGTCAATTCGAACATTCAATTCATGCTTTCAAATGACATCGTTCGAAGCAACAGAAATAGTTCGAAATACTAATGCAACTGGTCAACAATACAGTTCTACATTCAAAATCAGAGGCCAAGTTTATCATAAAATGGGCTCACTGCTGCCAATGCCAAACGAACCACATACATTTTTACAAATCTACTTCATGGGCGGCGAGGATTCCGGAAGCGCACTTGCCAATCGCGTGAATGCACGTTGTGATTATAATAACCTTGATTCATTTTATGCCAGACGCATCGTCAGCGAGCTGGATGCTCTATTGAATGAGCACAACGAATTGTTGAAAATATTCAAATCACACATGCACAAATTACAAAGCGATAATCACGCTATCGTCATTAATTCTGATAAAACACCAGCTAGAGAGCATATTCGTAGATTCAATGCACCCGTTGTTGATGATGTTGCTGGAATCATGGTTGGCAACAAATCCCAAGGTCAAACGATGTCTATTTGTGGCTTAGATTTGAGAACACCATGTTTTTCACACGGACAATTATACGTGGCATGTTCTCGAGTGGGTAAACCATCCAGTTTGTTTGTGTTAGCTAAAAATGGACTAACAAAAAATATTGTTCACGCTATAGCATTAAGAGATTGATATTTTTAAGGAATAAATTATAATAACTTAAAAATAATGTTTGCCTTTTGTTATTTTTATATTCCCTCATCATTCACAGCACTCCATGCCTCATTCACTAATTTACCACATCCTTAAACACTTACAATAAGTTAGTTATTTATTTTCTAGACTATAGATTCCCTAGAAATAATTTATATGGCAAAACAACGCTTGCTGGGACAGCAAGATAATAAGAATCAGCATAATCTGAATAAGAATAATCATCACTTAAATAATAAAAATAATAATAATCAGCACAATAATAATAATAATCATCAACAAAAAAAACATAATAAGAATAATCATCACTTAAATAATAATGATCAGCAGAAGCATAATAATCATCAAACAAAAAAAAACATGATAATAATAATCAGCGCAATCAGAATGAGAATAATCATCACTGAAATTATAATAATAATCAGCAAAATAATAAAAATAATCATCAAAAAAATAAAACAAAACATAATTATAATAATCAGCACAATAATAATAATCAGCGTTATCAGAATAAGAATAATCAT